CGTTCCAGCTCCAGCCACTTCTTCTCTATCTCCTCACTCAGCCGAATCTTCTGGTCCTCCGAAAGTGGGGGAGTGGGGAGGTCCAGCTCCCCCACCTTGCGGGAAGAGTCTCCCCCTGGGCCATCACTGTTTGGGACTCTGACATCAGGGGCCTCAAACCATTTCCGCCTCTCCTCCGAACGGACAGCCAGATCCCGCTCCAGCTCCTCATGCTTGGGAGTTCGGTCAGAGATCCTCAAGCTCCCTCTTGTCCTCTGTGGGGACCCCTGATTCCCGGGGTCCTGTGGCAAGGGAGACAGCTCCACATAGTCAAAGGCATGGCGCTGCCCATCCTTGCTGCCTTTTGAGTCCCCCTCGGAGCCAGAGCCCGGCCGCTGCTGCTCCTCTGTCCGGAGCGAGCCCTTCTGGGGCACACAGTTACGGAAGTTCTCCTTATCGCAGTCAGAGAGCCTGAAACCAGAGCCGCAGCCAGTGAAGGAGAGGTACCACGTGGGAAAGGATGCTGGTGGAGACCCTGACGACTGCCCAAGGCTCAGCCCTCACTCGGCTCAGCCCTCACTCAGCCCAGCCTTACAAAACCCCACCCTGAGCATGGAGCTGGGCCTGTAGCATCCCACCCCTTGAGGAAATGGCAAAAGTGGGTGCCACAGGAGGAGCCATCAGGTTCTCAACCCTGCCACTGGCTGGGGGACCCGGCCACTGGCTGGTGTACCAAGGCCATGTTCAGGAGTGGAGAGCAAGGCTAAATGAAAGCGGCCAGGTATCCAGAGGGACCTTCCTAGTCCCTGCCTACCAGGAGAGAGGAGCAGCAAGAGAGGGAAGAGGAGCAGCATGGGGCAGCTCTTACTTGGTGACATCTGGAGCACTGACTGGGCGCACATTCTTCCTCAGGGCCTCGATCCAGTTGCGCCGGATGCCTGAGGTCATTGCTGACAGGGTGAAGACAGCATCCTTTGTCTGCAACAGGAAGGCGATGGAGACCCCGTCAGCAGGCAGCCTCCACTCACTCCCTGAGACCCCCAGGTGCCCACTCTCACAGATC